CGCAGCACCTTCGTGCTCATCATCCAGGCGAATTTAGCCGGATGCCAGTCCTCGGTACTCCCCTAAATGCCACCCTAAACCCTAAACCCTCTAAACCCTAAACCCCCCTGCTTAGGCGCCAAAGTCGACTCTCCCTGAAGTGGAGCGCGCTTCAGACAATCCTGCAGCTGCCTGTAGGCTTGGCTGCGCACCTCTCTACTGCCTGTCTATAAATTCGGGGCATCTGTTTCGGTGTTCTAGAGGTTTTAGTGTTTAGGGTTTAGGGTTTAGGGCCTAGGGTGTTAAACAGCAAGGATTCTAGCTTTGTAGGTGCATAAGGGGTGCCCCGATGGACGCAGATGCCTCAAGGACGACTCTAGGTCCCCCTGAACCCTAAACCCCTCGCCCAGGAAGCCCACAAGCTCAGGTCTCGACGGTGCGAAGCAGCACTGTGAGGTCTGCAACATAAGGGGCCAAACCTTCCCAGAACAACCATAGGGGATAGGATTAGGGGGACCCTTGGGGATATAGACCCTCTGAATTAGGTCCTTGTTTAAGAGAGCCAGAAGAGGGTCAAGAAGGGGTTCCCTTTTAAGGGTCCCCCTTATCCTACCTAGGAATAACCAGGGGATGCGGGATGCAAGCTCTAGCTATAATGGGGGACATTTAGTGGCCTCTGGGGCTTTTACGAACGTAGGGGGACCCCTAAAATAGGCCCCCAAACAGTAGGATTCCCTTACAAAGGGACCTCCAGTAAGGTACCCTCAATTTCGGAAACCACCATCACACAATGTCTGTAGCAATACTGTCTGATCTGTGGGTGGGGGGAGACAGAGGGATGCTCTGGGTGGTTCGGAACCTGACGTTGGCCAGTCGGGGGGCTCTGGGGGGCAGGAATTGCTTGCGCAATCCCAAGCTTTGTAGGAGTTTTAGGGTGAAGGGTCTATAGGTTTTAGGGTGTTGGGGGTTGCTGCATTCTCCGGGCCGCCGAGAGGATTGGGATAAGCACGCTCCAGCCTGCATCATTCCAGGCGCTTATGCACCAAATCGACGAGTCCTGCGACAGTTCTACGAAAGCAAAGCTCGGGGTTAGGGCTTGCAAGGCTTAAACGGGTTTAAGTGTAGGAGGCATTACGCGTACCGAAGGCTAAAAACCCAAAGCCCACGGTACGACTCCCAACAACTCTTCAGGCTCTCAGGTGAAGGAGTTCATCGGATATATTCTAGGCAGAACTACATTCTTTCATGGCCCCAAGCCCAGCAACTACGTCTTCTGAGGTTTAGGCTTTCAAGGGTTCAGGTTCAGGTTGTGTAAGGCCATGTACATACATATGTATACCTTCCGGCTAGAGTGCTTCCCGGTCACACACCGTCCTGATCCATGAGCGGCGCCAGCTGAGAGAAGAAACTCAAGGCATCCGGCGACAGCTCGGCACCCTGCCCAAGCGCGGCTTGCAGTCTGTAGCGGACTTCAGCATTGACGGGGAACCCTGGTATTTAGTTAGCAAGGACTAGAAGGGAGCCCAAACAGACCTACCACTGACGCGCCCGAGAGCTGGGCATTAGACTGACCACAGCTGCTTGCCCCCCTTTTGGAAGGTTCCCTGCCAAGCCCACAAATAAGCTAAGTCTCCCTTAGCAAGCTGTTTTTTTTGCGGTCCTTCATGAGGTTGGGTTTACGCCTTGACCCAAAAAACCTGCGATGAAGGTCCTTATTTCCGAGACCCCAAACGCTAGACCCAGGAGTAGCCTAGGAATACAGAAGGGTGTCCTTTCTGGTTTACACGGGGGTCACAAAGGGAACCTAAACCCTAAACGAGCCTCGTGCACCACGAGCAGACTGCTACTGTTCACAGCCGCCAGGGCGCCATTCAACGCCTCGCGCAGGTGCCTTGGCAAGGTCTTAGGGTGTAGGGTTTAGGGTTCAGAGTTCAGGGTTTAGGGATTTCCAAAGGGCCCATGGCGCCACATAGCTCATCCATGTCCTTTTCGACTGGCACTTCGGCCTCAAAGAAGCTACTACGAGCGGCTTAGCCTGGGCTTTATTTACCTTTCGAGAAGCGAGTGCGTGCACCCTGCATGATAAAAGAAAAAGCACCTTCCTCTTAGACAGGTACATGGGTCACTCTAGGCCTTGAGTGGGGGGTTTTAGTACTGTAGGGTATTGGGGCTTTACGGTTTCTGGGTTTTGGGGTGCTAATTGTTTCCAGTGCGCTTAGGGGTTCTGTTGCGCTAGACCCTGAACCCTAAACCCTAAACTCTGAACCCTAGACACTTAAACCCTTAACCCTAAACCCGAGACCCTACACCCTAAACCCTACTCATTGTGGTAACTTACTCAACTCTTTCTTGAATCGTCACATTCCCATGCTGACACTTCGCGAAGATTTCCAATACAGGGGTCGGAATAATACTGACCGGAAAGAATTCCCTTATGCCCCCTGAATAACTATTCTGATCTATAAGGAACCCCGAGCGTGTTTGCAGCCGTTTCTGCATTGTAGTCGAGAAGTTGGAGCCCTGTGTAGACGCTATTCAAGATTGGTACCCAGATAGGGTCGGTGCTGTGTCTCCCGGGCAGAGTCCATGAGGGTCCGCGAGCGGCCTTCAGGACAGGCTTGGGGGCGTAAGGTCTTTAGTACCCTACACCTTAAAGACCCCAACATGCCTCCCTAAGGGTCCATGTACCTAAATAGGGAATACTTGGGCCTTAAAGTACTTCCTATTTTGGGACTTTGGGGCCCAAGTATACAATAATAAGGTACATGGACCCTTAGGGCCTGAATACCCTCAATACCCTACACCCTGAGCCCTAAACCCTAAACCCAATTCAGTTGGGGTGGTCAGGGCTTTGGTGTTTCTTGTGGTGTCTTGGGTCTTTACTTTATGGTGCGTCTTAGGAGGCGCTACGGGATGACTGGCTGGCAGTCTCAAGGCTGCGTGTTTAGAGCACCCTCTTCGAGTTTAGGGTTTAGGGTTTAGGGTTTGGGGTCTAGGGTTTAGGTTCCAAGTATGGGCCCTTAATTTGGTCCCCTTTGTGATACAACACTGATGATACATCATAAGGGTCCGTACTTCGGATCCCTATAAACAAGGGCGCAAACCCTTGCAACCCTATAAGCTCTAGAAACAGCATAAGCCCCATCAACCCTCTAGACCCAAAATCCTCCCCCCCCTCAACGCCCCCCTAAACCCTAAACCCTAAACCCTAAACCCTAAACCCCAAACCCTAAACCCTAAACCCTAAACTTTAAACACAAAACATCCCCGACGAGCCTCGGAGCGATGGTTTGGCTGGTGCCTTCCGCCGGGTGTTGGAAGGGGGGGGGGGGGGGTCCTAAAAGCCCTAAGGGTCCTCCATGTACTTGAATAGGGAATACTTGGGCCATAAAGTACATGGTACATGTAACGGCGTCAGTCCTGAATCCGGAAGCACTCTTGCTTCTTATCAGGGAGTTGAAGGACTATAGGTACTTTTCATCCTCTGTATGACCCTTCATACACCCCTAATTCCTGCTGCGGAATAATATCTGGAAGCTCTCAAAACCCTAAACCCTAAACCCGAAACCCTAAACCCCTTTCAAGAGAGCGGGGTTGGACCTGAGGCACTTGGATGAGTGGGACAGGTCCCAATCCTTCTGTCTTGGCGCGGAAGCCTATGCCGAGAAGCCGCGAAAAGAACGAAATCGCAACCACAAACCCTACACCCCCCTACACCCAGAAAGTTGGGATGTTCCCCCCCTGTACTGACAGTCAAAAATAGGCGTATGATACCCGCTATTGCAATCCCTATGAAGGACTGTTAGAAAAAGGGGGAATATCCCAACCCTGGAACCCTAAACTCCTAAACCCAGATATCATCAGAAGGGTTCCCCTGAACCGTTCACGAGATCTGGGTCCCTCAACCCCCTTCCCTGCCCTCCTCCCCCCCCCCCCCCCCCCCCCCCACTTTCGGGTTTAGGGCCTATAGGGCCCCTGAACAGCTACGTGCCGCCTGCACAAAGAGTGGCGCTGTTGGCAACTCTGCCTGCTTGGGGAGTCTCAGCTTGGAGGTTCATGGGTACTTATAACCCCAACAATAACTTCTAAGACCCCTTAAGTCCCCCAAGTAGGGTTTAGGGTTTAGGGTTTAGGGTTTAGGGTTTAGGGTTTAGGGTTCAGGGTTTAGGGCTATAAGTGGACTTATGATAGGTGTTAGAAGCACCCATGAACCTCCAAGTAGTGGGGCTCGAGGACATCGGCGTGCCAAAGCAGGGGGGTAGTACTGTGGGCTTGTTCTTCTTCAGATCATGGGGTTTAGGGTTTAGGGTTTCGGGCATATAAACCCTATAGACCCTAAGCCCCACAAACCCTAAACCCTGTGAACCCAACAAACCCTAAAGCCCCAAACCCATGCACTCTCAGCCCGGAACCGGGTTTCAACGCCCGTACACGCAGGGGGATAGGCTTTATAGGAAGGAGTGACAGGGGGGTTGAGGGGCTTGCAGGTTTGCGGGTTTCGGGCTTTGTACGAATCCCTGGCTGCCCTCTGCTCCCAGCACTTGTCCCGAACCTGCAGCAGCTGGCTCGACCGCTCCGCCTGAACATGTGCAACAAGTGGCGCCGCAAGTTGAGTACAGGGCTCCACCTCTCCTCGTTGCCTAAACCCTTAACACTTAACCCTAAACCCCTCCAAAAAATCACCCACCCTAGAGTGCTACTGAGTACTATCACGCACATCATTTGGGGGTTTGCGCTAAGGGTTTAGGGTTTAGGGTTTGGGGTCTACAGCTTAGGTGTTGACTCTACCTCCCTTTCCCTGCTTAAGATGCAAATCGCATTTCTGAGTTTCATGGCCGGATGGCAGCGGTTTGCGACTGCATGCCTACTTCGGGAGGGTTCCCGGGGTTGGTCTGCACTTTCGATCAGATGGCTCAGATTCTCTTGATGATGCCACTACCGTGGGTCATGTGTTTTGACAACTCCGACATTTTCTCTCCTGGCTCGCCACGATAAAGATGTGCGCGAAGACGAATTGTAGCTCAAGAATCCGAGGGCGGATGTCGGATGTACAGGTGATCTGTGAGCGTCGGAGGAGGCCAGGACGAATCGTGGTATTGCATCTGTTCTTCAGTTGGGCTGCCGTAGAAGAGAAGTTTGCTAGGCTCAACTAGCAGCGAGAAGCGCTCAAACGTACGCTTGGTCCAATCAACGTCAGACCCCGGACGTATAGGCAACGCCTGGTCTGGTTTCAAATGACCTGAGGTGGTGTGCACCCCACCCTCGACGAAGCAGGACTCAAAAAGATGTCCGCCATCACAGTGCGACCAAGACTTGCAGCTCACCTGTTGCTCAACGCGCCGCAACATGCAACCCAGCTAGTACTATGCAAGTGTGTGGAAACCGAGCGATCGGGGAATGCTGTGGCAGTGCACTTACATGCACCGGAAACGTGCCGGATACATAATGCCGCCGTGTTGCAGTTGCAGACAGACGCTCCAGAGCTCCACCCTCACATCCCAATTGCTGCGCACGCTTGTCAATCAGAAGGGTCATCACGTCCAGACGTACTTTTGTGTCGTTCGTCCCGCCATAGCTCAGCGCGGAGACAGGCCTGAAAGCACACAGCACCGGGCCAGAACAAATCATGGATCAACATCTATAACTCAAGATCACTCTACTGACTTCAAGCCCTTGGGGGTGCCTTGCACCCGAGCATGTGGTCAAGTCGACCAAGTCCGGCATATCCCCCCATGAATATGGCTCGATGGGCGCCACTGCGCGCAGGTAATGGCTCCGCGAGCAGGCCAAGCCCCAGGAAAAGGTTCCGCCCAGGCTGAAACCGGCCGCAAAGGCCTGGCAAGTTTTACTTTTTAACCTTAAGGGTCTATATGTACCTAAATGGGGGATACTAATTAGGGCCTTAAAGTACTTCCTATATATAGGAGGTTGGGGCCCAAGTATATAATCGTCATTACAGTCATTATAACGCATGGACGCTTAGGGCTACGCCGCGAACCCTCTAACAAAACCCCAAGAACATTAACTGGCTGATTCGGCGCTGTAAACCTGCAAGCCTGCGTCCTGTCCGCACACGTGTGATCCTCCAGCCACTTCCAGATGCTGTCGACGAACTTGACGTCGCGATCGTAGTTCTGGGGCCACCAGGAGCATGCTTCCACTATCTCGGACACGAAACGGCCCTGCAGACAGCACTCGTCTGTGTCGCACAGTGAGGAACAGCATTCCCTGACTCCACCCATGGAGGACGGACTCAAAACGGTGGTTCCCCAAGGCAAAATGCCCAACCATCCGTAGCGAGACAGTGTCTGCATAAGGCCGAGCTCCTTCTCATGGAACCAGGGAGTCTCATAGGTCCCGTGAAAAGACATGACGAGTGGGACCCCGGAACTGCTTTGAACCTTGGTGGGACGAGCTCGACAGAAAGCCAGATAAGGCAGACCGCCACCTAGTAACTTACTGGTTGTTTGAGAAGGGTACGGGTGCTTCATAAACAACCGTACGTAATCATGCATCATACCTAAACCCTCAACCCTTAACCCTAAACCCTCACCCTAAGCCCTAAACTCGTATTAGGCCGTACTTACTGCGCCTTTTTATTCTATGTGCTTCGCGTCACTAGCTCAGGCGGCACCAGGAAGAGGAACTGTCTCTGGATGTCCAGGAGCTTGACCTAGACTCAGGAGTAATCTAGGAAAACAAAAAAAGGGGTACCCTGATTTCAGGGGATTATAAAGGGAAGCCCCAACCCTCAAAAACAGGGAAATAAGGGCCGACTCCAGGAAAAAGGGTCTTTTTGCTTTTAAGGGGACTTTAAGGGAACCCCAACCCAAAAAAAGGAAATAAAGGGCCTACTCCGGGTCCTAGTTGCTATGTGCATGCCCGGCCCATACCCAGCCGAGCAGGCATGATCAGCACCAGGAAGGTGACCACTCAAGTGGGTGTTTGTTTGAAGCAGCTGCACCTCTACTGAACGTGGAACCCCAGCAAAAAAATGTGTATGTATGTCTATGTATATACATATATATATATATATACATAATGTAGTTGTTAAAGCTGTTTCTTAGGGATTATAGTGCCCCAAAATAAACATGCATTCTCAAGCATCCCTAAGGCACCTCTGCATCCCCATCTGCACCTAATTCGGCCCGTGTCGCAGCTCCACAAAGCGAGGTCAGCAACCAGAAGACCAGCGTCAGACCAGGTCTCAGTACGTGAAGCGCGTGAAGCCGAGAGGCAATGCCATGCGGCATTGGCCCCACAGAGTTATGGATCGGTTCGGTCTGACTAGTGAGGTCAAAGGCAGCGGGGGACATGTTGTCCATGGTTGCCCGGTACTGAAATCCAAATCTCCAAGCCCCAAACCCTCAAACCCCAAACCCATAAACTCCAAACACTACACCCTAAAACCCTAAGCTCCAAATCCTAAACACCTAAACTTCAAAACCCAACCCCTATAACCCCTAAACCCTAAACCCCTTGAAACCCCTGTAAACCCTAAACCCTACCCCGCTGGCAGGTCCGGGCTCTTTTTCGTCTCCAGCTTTCTTGGAGTCCTTGTCGTTCTTCTTCCCGATCTTTATGGCTTTCCACCAAGGCTCCTTCTGTTGACTGGAGGGTAAGGGAGCGGGGGTTCAAGCGGGGGGTTTTGGGTTAGGGGGGGGGGGGGGGGGGGGGGGAACCTTGGGGAAGCTCAGGGCGCCTTAGGGAGTTGTGGGGAGCATTAGGGAACCTTGGGTTACATACCCCCTTGAACCCCCCCCCCTCCCATGAGAACCCGATAAGTTGAGGGTGTAAGACCGCAGCTCAAGAACTTCGGTGTTGTAGGTTATCACTTTAAAGCCTCTTTACAGAATTCGTCGGCTTCCTAACGTCATGCATCACATCTGGCGCAAAGAGCAAACTCAATAGGAAAAACCCTAAACCCTAACCCTAGAGCTGTTGTTTGGGACTGGGGTCCAGGGTTTGGGGTTTCAGCCAGCTCCGCCCATGAACTCCGCACCCCCCCCCCCCGCCCCCAAGCTCTCTCTTTGTTTTGTGGCTTGAAACCCAAGACTGAAAGCCTCAACCCTGCCCTAATCCCTAGGCCCGACCTCAAGAACGCACAAGCTCTACTTACCTCTTTCCGTGGAAGTAAGATGGCATACACAAAAACAAAGATGCATGTCGCGCGCGCTCATGCATGCGTATGTGCGTGTAAAACATATATGTACAGATGTACCCATATCTCTATCCATATGTTTTCGTGCATTTGTGTATGATACTGTGTATGTGCACGTTTATGTGTATGCATATGTGCTTGTATATCTATATGGTACCCCCCCCCCCTGGAGAATCTACCTCCAAAGGGTGGGGGTTTAAGACACCTGTAGCTTTTTCGTATCGGGTTGAAGATACCTCTAACGCTTTCGTATAGATTCTTACCCTCTCATCTTCAACAAGATTCGCATTTCAATCTCTACATGATGAGAGTTTCAGATCTCCATATCCAGAGGATGAGGTATAAGAGTTTGTCTTTTGTTTTAGGTGTGTTGCTTAGAAGCAGTTGGGTTGCTTATAAGCAGTCGGGTTTGCTTTAGTGGGGGGGTGAGGGGGGGGGGGGGAGGGGGGGGGGGGGGGGGGGGGGGGCGGGCGGGGGGGTTTTCCAAGTTTGCCTCGGCACCCCCCCGCCCCCCCCTCCCCCCCCCCCCCCCCCTCCCCCCTTCCCCCCCCACCCCCACCCCCCCCCCCCCCCCCTCCCCCCCCCCTCTCCTCCCCAGCTCCCCCCCCCCCCCCCCCCTCCCCCCCCCCCCCCTCCCCCCCCCAGTCCCTTCTCTCCCCCCCCCCCGTCCCCCCACCCCCCCCCCCCCTTCCCCCCCCCCCCCCCCCCCCCCCCCCCCCCCCCTCCCTCCGCTCCGCTCCGCTCCCGCTCCAGCTCCAGGGTTTTTTTCTTAAGGTTAAGGGTTGTTTGGGCTGGGCTTGTCTCTAAAACCCTATCGGGGTTAAGGCTTTAAGGCGTTAAGGATTTAAGAGAAGCCCCGACACCCTACAGGTTTAGGGTTTTAATCGCTATGCCTTAAACCTATAGGATCTAGGGCTACACCTTAAACCCTACACCTTTAAACCCTATGGGGTTTCAAGGTTAAGCAACTAAACTTAACCCTTAACCTTTAAACCCTATAGGGTTAAGGTTTAAAGGTTTAGGGTGTAAGATTTAAGGATTTCAATTCTAAGCCGGGAATTAAACCAAAACCCTTAACTTTTAAACCCTACAGGTTTAAGATTCAGGCATTTAACCGGCAATTGAACCTAAGCCCTTAACCTTTAAACCCTATAGGTTTAAGGTGTAAAGGTTCAGGGTTTAATTAAGACTCATGCATTCAAACCTAAGCCCATAGAGTTTAAACCTTAAGTGTTTAAGGTTTAGACATTTCAACCTCACCCTAAACCCTTTAGGGTCAGAACCCTAAAACCCTATGAAGGTTCCAAGGTCTTAACCCTAAAGGCGCTAAAAGTATAAATGCCCAGACCTTAGGTTTTGAAGGCGAATGAAGTTTAGGAATTTAGCCTTGAGGTTTAGGCATTACAATCTGCAAGCCCCATAGGATTTTACAGGTGCAAGATCTAGTGATTAAAACCTAAGGCTTGGGCATTCAATCTGTAACCCTAAAGGCTTGAACCTTAAACCCTATAGAGTCCCTATAGGGTTAGGTATTTAAACCGAATAGGTGGCCTTTAAACTCTATAGGTTTAAAGGTTTAGGGTTTAGGTTGAAATATTTAAACCCTATAGGATGTAAAGCTTTAGGGTTATTCAGGGTGTATCTCTAGAACCCTATCGGGCCTGGCCCTTATAGGGTTTAAACCCTACATGGTTTACCCTTTTGTGGTTTAAGACTTAGGAATTAAAAAATCGTAACCCGAAACCTTGTAGGGTTTTAACCCCTTTACTGTTTCAACGACAAACCCTGAAGCCTTACAGGGCTCACGTTTAGAATCCTTAAACCCTAAACCCGCTAAACCCTACAGTAACAGAACCTTGTAACCCTATAGGGTTTGAGGCTTAAACTCTTGAACTTTAAATCCCATAGGGCTAGGAAAAGCAAAGACAAAGTAGGATAAGTGCCCACATCATGTATGTATATAGGGTATATGTACTGTATATCAATTGCAGATAATGGAGAAGGAAGGACGGTACGCCTCGAACCATAAGATTGGGGGGGGGGGGGGTACCATCACTCAACCCTAAACCCTAAACCTTAAACCCTAAACCCATCCAAGATCCAAGATTACCTGAAAAGGTAGATTCTCCTGGGGGGGGTAGCATCTATATATATATATACATATATACACATATGTATATGTGTGTGTAGATTTGCTCATATGTCTGAGAAGACAACCGAAACACCGATTTCCTCCCCTCGACGCCCTACAAACAGTAAAATGCCATAAACATGTACGCTCCAACCCTTACAATCCTTTTTGGCCAATAAACGCTTATGAGCCCAACCTTTCTTTCGGTGTACTAAGGAGCCTGGTTGCCCAAGAAGGACGGTTAGATTCCAATTTGATACTTTGCAACAACATCAGGATCCTAGTTGCTGAGCTCATCAGCCCGAAATAAAGTGAACACTTTTGGTTTTGTGGAGATTATAGTATTCCCAAAAGTGTACAGTGTACTCCCTATGAACCCAAACCCTAAACCCTAAACCCTAAACCCTCAACCCTCAGCCCTCAGCCCTAAACCCTAAACCCTAAACCCTAAACCCTAAACCCAATGTTCCCTTTTCGGCTCCTTCTTGGCTTTCGGAGGCTCTGGCGGCTTGTTCGGCCGCTGCCACGGCCATCGGAATCGAGGGGCGGGTGCCTCGCTGGCGGCTTAGGGCTTGTGAGGCAACACTGAACCCTAAACCTGTTGGTAAGGGCGTCAGTATATTTTCCAAGGGTTGGTCACTCCCTACTTGACCTGAGGGCCCATGTACCTGACTCTCATTCTGCGTGTTGGGGGAATTCCGGCTTCAGGGCTGCTTGAGTTTTACGGTTCAAGTTTACGCTTGCCAGGGTTTGGGGGGGTTTAGGATTGTAGGGCTTTAGAGTTTAATCATTTGACGTGGGTTTGGGGTTTAGGGCTTATGGTCTAAGGTCCTGCTGTTTAGAAAATCCCCAACCCTCCACGCGCCATGAACCTATAAACTAGGCGTAGATTCAACCATCCACAAAAAGACTCAGCAGGAGCGTCCATGGCTAGGAATCGTAGGTCGTAGGTTGATAAGGGCACCGAGCTGACCCACCACCCCCCCCCCCCCCCCCAAAAAAAAAAAAAGAGACAAAGGTGTGCGTTTGTGTGTGTGTGTGTATTTATGTGGGGTATATAAGGGCTAACTTCAGCACACCTAAGCCCCCGAAATCCCAAAACCTTGTCAGGGCCTCTTCCACTGTGTCGCTGCGGCGTCGTAGCTGCCCCATCCTAGCCCACCGGATTCTAGGAAAGATTGCCGGTCCAGGGTTCAGGCTGCTCGGGTTTTTAGTTGTTGTTGATAGGGAATTCGGAATTGCTGTTGGATCTTTTGGGGTTTAGGGCATTCGGTCTTCTCAGGGCCTAGGTTTTGATCCAGGTTGTCTACTTCCAGCGCTTTAGGGCAGAAGCAGGTTTGAGCGGCTGAGCATGCTGCTTCACCCTCAACCTTAACCTAAACCCAAGCCCCCGGAAACCTTCACCCCCTTACCCTAAACCTGAACCCGAAAGCCTCAACCCTGCAGCAACCTTAACCCACCCTAAGCTGCTTCAAAGCATTGCTGGCCTCGGTTTCCCTGGAACCCGAAACCCGGATTCGCAACTCCCGAGAACCAGGCTGCCGAGCACAGCCAGAGCCCCATAGCAACAACCCCCTGATCCCCAAGCCTGGGGTGTCAGGTCACCGGTGGGGTAAAGTGCAGGGGGCAAGGTAGTTGCAGGTATGTATATATATATATATGACCATATATATATATATATATATATATGACCATATATATATATATACATATGGTAATCATAGGGGATGGGTATACGGTATAGGGTATAGGGTTACATCTAGACCACTCCTGGTACACACTCACGTTGAGCTCTGAACTTACCCTCTCTAGGATGCTCAGTAACCCAGGATTAAAGAGGGTACCCTTTTTTGCTTAAAGCGGTTTGTAAGGGAACCTAACCCCCAAAAAAAGGGAATAAGGGCACTACTGGGCATCCTAGCTCTCAACCCAACGCCCTAAACTCTAACCCTGAACCCCGT